TTGACATTAATCCTGATGCAGGCAGATCACTTCCAAGTAAAGCAAAAAACTAAACTAAACAATAAGCTCCCTACATGTTCAAAATTTCCAACAAGATTTTGGTGCCCTTTGTTTAAAGGTAAACAAACCAGTAAGAGTCCTTGAATATCCAATGAAAAATTTTAATATGACAGATAGGAACAGAACAAACAACCAGAAAAAGCTATTAGAAGGAACAGATGATACTAACCTGGAAGAAGATAATTTGAAAAATGGGGAAAAAACAACAAAACTACCCTTAATATCCTGAGAGAAATAAGAAAAGGTACTGCATCCATTAAAAATAACAGAATATAATTAAAAGGATATATTCAGAGAACAAAAAACCCTTAAACATTAAAACATAATGATAGAAAAAGAAGACTCAATAGGAAGTTGAAGGATAAAGTCAGGGAAAACCACCAGAAAGTAGAACAAAAGATGAAAAGATTTTTAAAAAAGAGAGGGAGAGAAGGTAATTAAAGAACAAACCCAGAAAATCTTTTATTAGGGTATCAGAAATAAAGAGCAGAGGAAAAAACAGCATGAAATTGTCAAAAATATCTCAGGAATACTTTTAAAAACTGCAAAGAATATAAACATTCAGTTTGAAAGAGCACATAAAATGACCACAGACGTGGAGAAAAAATAGACCTAATTCAAGGCACTAGTAACATGTAAAAGAAGAAGAAGAAGAAGAAGAAGAAGAAGAAGAAGAAGAAGAAGAAGAAGAAGAAGAACAACAACAACAACAACAACAACAAGAGATGGGTCTATATGCTTTATAGGAAGAAAGAGTCTAGATGCAAAGCAAAACAACTGGAAGCTAAAGAGAAGCATTAAACACCCGTTGGACAAAGTACAGACATTATCAAAGCAGGTAGATTCTAGAAAAATTTACCTTCCATGTGTCCTTTTGATAAACCCCTTGAGAAAAGCCCCAAGAAAACAAAGGAGGAAATTGAGTAAGTAGGAGACAGATACGGAAAGAAGGAGATACATCAGAAAAGTGAAGGGAATTTGGGGGTTGATGGTGATGAATGAGAGATCCCATGTGGACACTTGTCCTTTATGCATGGAGAGCTATCAATCCAGATAAACACGTCAATAAATAGTCTCTGAGAGGGTTTTCTAAATTACATAAAATCTGAAGAAGATCTGATGCTTTTGAATGTATTAAAAATGTTTCAGCAACTATAGGGAATTTCTAATAAATCAGCATAATAGTGCTTGACTTCAAAGTGTTTAGTATCTAGTAGAAAAGGAGAGAATCTGTATTAAAGACTAAAGGCAATGTATAGTATCAGGTAAAATCATGTTAAAAGAAATAATAAAAACAAATAATTAAATCAAAGTAGCATGGGGATAGGAAAAACAGAACAATAATAAGTTAAACAAGAACACTTATATCCTGTTTGCCATATTTGACTCTGAAAAACTGTGATGCCTTTCAAAAATTCCATTAATTCTCCAAGATTTTCTGTGACTGGAGATTTTCCAAAGAATTTTCTTTGGTCTTTGAAGATATCCCAAAAGAGTGCCAAGCATGCTTTGAATTGTATGAATATTGTAGAGGAGACTGTTCATATGAGGAAAAAACATTTAGATGCATTAGGACAGGTATGTTTGTTTAAGAAATCTCCTCACTATTTTATAATAAATCATATAAAAATAATGGAAGCACAGAATTTTAGAGTCAATATTTAGTATATTAATTTCCTCATTTTGTTGAAGGTGAACTTGATATAATCGCTTTCCATAACTTCCACAATTCACTCAAAACTCTGAAAACAGCACCTGTAGGAGCCTCACCAGAGACAAAAATTCTCCAATTATTTTCCTCCTTCAAATTCAGGAGACAGCAGGGGAATGGGAGTATAACAAAAACTCAGAAAATTAAAAATATATACATACCTATTACACTTAAAAGATTAACTATAGGACAGAAGAGGTTACTAAGTTGTAGAAACCACAGAAGGTGTTTCTGCAAATAAATATACATCAATCATCCAATATAAAGGGATTTCATCACACCGATATTTACCAATCAGGGATATTACAAAATAATAATTAAGACACACTCTCCCTCTAGAGTGGATAAGGTGATGATGAAGTTTTTTGTATCAGTGTATCAGTGAATAGGTGAGAATTTTTTTTTTTTTGGTTCCACATTATGGCCAGAAATGAATACATGAACACATTTAATGAAAAGCTACTATTTAATTAAGGAATTTCTTTCTAGAATGACAGCTCACAATTTTGCCAAAGTCTAAGAATAGTGTTCCTTTTATCCAAGTTAAAATTCAAGTCTAGAGAATTTTTTGCATTTGCCAAGAAAGCACTCAAATTTTGCACATTTTTCCTCAAAAGTTGTCTGCTAACTATAAACATTTTAGACCATAAAGGAAATAGAAGCTCTTACATGAATGACAGCTCTCAGTTACCCTCCTAGGTTTTTTTTTTTTTTTTTTAATTTTTTTTTTCAACGTTTATTTATTTTTGGGACAGAGAGAGACAGAGCATGAACGGGCGAGGGGCAGAGAGAGAGGGAGACACAGAATCGGAAACAGGCTCCAGGCTCTGAGCCATCAGCCCAGAGCCCGATGCGGGGCTCGAACTCACGGACCGTGAGATCGTGACCTGGTTGAAGTCAGACGCTTAACCGACTACGCCACCCAGGCGCCCCACCCTCCTAGGTTTTTAAACAATTGAAGAGCAAATGGAAAGGGCAAAGGCTGAACTCATACCAAATTTTTTCTTCATACCATACTTCTAAAATAATAAGAAAAATAAGGGAAGGGGAGACCATGTATTTTCAAAAGACAGCATATCTGCCAATGACTTTGAGGAAAAGATGCCTATTATTTGTTTTTCTCAAAACGAAGACATTTACAGGGGCACCTGGGTGGTTCAGTCAGTTAAGTATCTGACTCTCAATTCCAGGTCAGGTCATGATCTCACAGTTTGTGACATTGAGCTCTGTTGTGGGCTCTGCACTGACAGTGAAGACCTGCTTGGGATTCTCTCCCTCTCTCTGCTCCTCCCATGTGCATTCTTGCTCTCTCAAAATATAGAAACAAACATGAAAAAAAAATTTTTAAAAGAAGACATTTACAAATACTGGGGATCGAGGCAAAGATCCACAATCATTCTGTTCCCAAGTAACAACCTTGAGGTTTGGACAAGTGGAGAACTGAGTTTCTGAGTTTCAAAGTGCCCCCTGGTGGAAATCAGCAGTCATTGCTATCTCTCATAATTTTGTTTCATTTGCTTACTTGATACCTGGTACCTTAAGATTTATGAAGGTTTCTGATGAAAGCTAGCCAGTGAATCACATCAACAAAATAATTATGATTTATCAGCCACCTGGTTTTATGTGATGGCGCCACTGATACATGCAATCATTTTACTTTCAATCACCGCATCCTTAATATTTAGCATAGTGCCTGGCACAAAGCAGAAGATAGATTTTTTTTTTTTTCAACTACCACAATGATTACACAGTCACCTAAGCTAGAAATCTAAAGACAACATTCATTCTTCTCTTCTTCATACCCAGTATCCAGTAACCTAGTGCCATTAATTGTACTTCTGAAACTTGATTCAATCCAGACCTACTCCATTTTGCTGCCCAGGTTTAAGCCCACATAATCCCATCTCTGGTCATTAGCAATGGCCCCCAATAGTCCAGTCTGACCCATCCTTAACTGCTAGCAGAGGAATATTCAAAGAGAAACTAACTGTCCTCTTGGCCTTAAATATAGATATATATATACACACACACACACACAGATGGACTTTCAGTAGAGCAGAGTGAAGATGTTACCACATCCTCTCCCCAGAAGAAAACTGTAAAACTAGGTAAAATATTTAAAAACAAACATTTAAGAGCTCTAGAAATCAATGAATGCTCATCAGCTTAAATAATACCTTCTCAGTAGCTGTCGGTATTTAACGTTCTAGGTATTCATTTTGGTGAGCATTATTTTTTTAAATATTTTTACTTATTTTTTGAGAGAGAGTGTGAGTGAGGGAGGGGCAGAGAGAGAGAGAGAGAGAGAGAGAGAGAGAGAGACACCAAATTAGAAGCAGACTCCAGGCTGTGAGCTGTCAGCACAGAGCCCGATGCGGGGCTCAAAATCAGGAACCTTGAGATCATGACCTGAGCTGAAGCTGGATACTCAACTGACCAAGCCACCCAGGTGCCCCGGTGAGCATTATTTAAAATAAAAGAATAGCACCATGATTATCACTGTATTGTATCAGGTATTGTACACCTGAAACTAATATAACACTGTGTGTTAATTATACTGGAATTTAAAATAATAAAAAAAAATAGCACGATTGAATTAAATTTGGGGGCTCCTACTAAAAATTTTTAAAATCTTATCAATAGGTACATTTTTTTTTTAATTTTTTTTTTCAACGTTTATTTATTTTTGGGACAGAGAGAGACAGAGCATGAACAGGGGAGGGGCAGAGAGAGAGGGAGACACAGAATCGGAAACAGGCTCCAGGCTCTGAGCCATCAGCCCAGAGCCCGACGCGGGGCTCGAACTCCCGGACCGCGAGATCGTGACCTGGCTGAAGTCGGACGCTTAACTGACTGCGCCACCCAGGCGCCCCTCAATAGGTACATTTTAATGGGGCACCTGAGTGGCTCAGTTGGTTAAGTGTCTGACTTAAATTTAAAAAATAATAAAGTTATGCTTTAAGAAATGTTCACTAAAATAAAAAAAGAAATAACAAGTGTTAACAAGAATGTGAAGAAAAAGAAACCCTCATGTACTGTTGGTAAGAATATAAACTGGTACAACCACTGCGCAAAACAGTGTGGAGGTAGGGCACCTGGTGGCTCATTTGCTTCAGTTCCAACTCCTGATTTCAGTTCAGGTCATGATCTCACAGTGAGATCCAGCCCTGCATCTGGCTGGGCACTGGGCATTGATTCTGCTCAAGATGCTCCCTCTCCCTCTCTTTCTTCCTCCTCCTCTGTCCCTCCCCCACTCGCCCGTACTCACACTCTCACTGTCTCTCTCCAAAAAATTAATTAATTTTAAAAAAGTATGGAGGTTTCTCAGAATATTAAAAATAGAAATACCATACAATCCAGCAATTCCACTACTGGGTATTTGCCCAAAGAAAACAAAAAACACTAATTAAAAAGATATATCCACCTTTATGTTTACTGTACATTATTTACAATAGCCAAGATATGAAAGCAACTTGTGTCCATTAACAAATGAGTGGATAAAGAAAATGTACTATAGATAGATAGATAGATAGATAGATAGATGAAAAAAAGGAATCTTGCCATTTGTGACAACATGGATGGACCTGGAGGGTATTATACTAAGTGAAATAAGTCCGACTGAGAAAGACAAATACCATATGATTTCACTTACATGTAGAATTTAAAACAAAACAGATGAATAAATGGAAAGAATCAGATATATAAATACAGAGGACCGAATGTTGCCAGACAGGAGGGAGGTGGGGGGCAGGCAAAATGGGTGAAGGAGAATGGGAGATAGTGGCTTCCAGTAAGGAATGACTAAGTCATAGGAATAAAAGGTACAGCATAGGGAACATAGTCAATTGTATTAGGATAACACTGCATGGCGAGAGGCGGTAGCTACATTTGTGATGAGCATAGCATAATTATAGAGATGTGGAATCAGTATAATGTACACCTGAAACTAACATTGTGCCAACTATACTAAAAAAAAAAAGGGGGGGGGGGGGGCGGGGTGGCGCAGTCGGTTAAGCGTCTGACTTCAGCCAGGTCACGATCTCGCGGTCCGTGAGTTCGAGCCCCGCGTCAGGCTCTGGGCGGATGGCTCAGAGCCTGGAGCCTGTTTCTGATTCTGTGTCTCCCTCTCTCTCTGCCCCTCCCCTGTTCATGCTCTGTCTCTCTCTGTCCCAAAAAAAATAAATAAACGTTAAAAAAAAATTAAAAAAAAAATTCTATCAGTACTGATTTAATGCATTCAGATTTTATTCATGAAGTAAAGAAGGCCACGTAGGTATTTAACAGGGAAAATTCATGGTAAATATCCTATGAAAGATTCTGTTTTTAAACTTCTTCTTTTAACAAAATTATAAATGGGTTTAAATGTATATGGTGAGAATTGAGAAGTGAATAAAGAAGGAAGGTTTTTCCATGACAATGATACAAAAAAAATAATTCTTATTTTACTTTCCTCTTTTCTGCTCCCTGTTCCCAGTGAATGCATAATATTATACAAAATACTACCTGGCAAATTGGGGTCGGCATCTATGCTGTTATTAAACACATTTTAGCAAGAGTGAGTTTGAAGAGTTCATGTTTTACTTTGAGACCACCGTGTCACAGACATGCCTGTTGTGCAGTGACAGCGAGCTGCTAACACATAGCCCCCTCCCAACTCCAGTAGATATTTAAAAACGGGTCTGACTCTGAATGTGCTTTCTACATTTTGAGTATAGGAATAGTTGCCATCCAGTAAATTGAGTTGTTTTGTGTTCTCTGATTTAAAAAGTTAAGACTTTTTCACTCTGAGCAAAAGTTTAACACGTATGTTTATTTATTTTATTTTTATTTTGATGGGAGTGGGGAGGCAGGCAGAGGGAGAGCATCCCAAGCAGGCTCCATGCCCAGCATGGAGCCCTATTTGGGGCCCAATCTCACAACCCTGGGATCATGGTCTGAGCAGAAATCAAGAGTTAGACTCTTAACTGACTGAGCCACCCAGGTGCCCTAAGTTTAACACATATGTTTAAAGTGTAGATCCCATAAGTCTCAAGGTACTTTTTCATTTCTCTTTTAATAACGTCATTGACTCATTGGTTGTTCAGAAGCATGTCGGTTATTTTCTGCATATCTGTGATGCTACTGATTGTAGCCATCAATACAGAAATATAATTTCTTGTCCAGTAATATATACCTCAAAATATTGATATGAAAAAGAACCATACATGTTGAAGTCTCAAAGAATTGTTTATTGTTGCAACTCCAATCAAAGATACGACTTCAGTGAAAAACAAGTCTTATAATTAACTTCGTGACATACTTTGTGATGATCCTATTGTGTAGATTATAATTCTCACCCTGACGCCTAAATCATATTTTCTTGTTCATCGCCGTGATCTTGCATAAGTACAAACGTGTGATGCCAATAACCCCATCAGGGATACTCTGTTGATTATGGAGAATAATCAGAGCCCTTTGTATTCCCTTGTGACCTCATTCCTGCTTTTTTTTTTTTTCTCCCTAACCAAATAACCTGGCTCTTCCCTTCTCTCAAGTATTAGATCAATAATTGACTCATTCCAGTTACCTAACCAAACCACGTTGCTTCATACCTTTGTGCATTTATTTGAGCTCTTTTCTAATAATACTCCCACCCTGGCTTTATTTAGATTCTCTCACAGGGGCTTGGGCATAGGAACCAAGCACGAACTTGGTTTTTTGGAATTGAGTCTATGAACAGAGTTCCTATGAGGGAGAATGACTTCACGTTAAGAGAGGTAGATAACCTTAAGTATCAAAACCTTGGAAGGCACTGAACTATTCATTTAGCATTGATCATTTCATTTTGTTTCCCAGACTTCAGTCACTGGCATTCTTTAATGTCTTTACCATGTTCACCCAACTTCTATACACACTGTTTACTTGATATTTCTGTTTAAATTGACTCCCATTTTACTCACTAAATTTATCTTAATGGAAACTTTGCATCATTACTATAAATAGAAAATTTAGCATTATGTCCAAATACGCAAATTACACTTAAAAATAAATATAATGGGAGTTTAGCTTTAGCTAATGGCACAGTAGGTAATTAGGACAAATCCTCCCACTGAGAACAACAGGAAAAGCTAAACAAGATATTTTTAAAAGCTTGTTCCAATGCTTTGTAGATCTACCAAGGCATGGAAGATTTTAAAGGCAAGATCTGAAAGAATATGGGAAACTAGAGAGTTGATTCTCACACTTAGAGCCACTTATTTTTCTACAAATACTTGTTCTGAGATGATTAGGGCCCAGCAGAGCTTTCTAAATAGTTGCACATCAAAAGAGGAAAAAAAGAAATACGAATTTCAGGACTCGATAAAGAGGAAGACTAGCAAAAATGCAGACTTTTCGTTTGGACCACAATGCAAATGTAAACCAGAATATGCTAGTCCTCACAAGGACAGAATCCAGTTCTCAGCATCAAACTCTGGATCAGACTAGTGTCTCTCACCTGGGCACCGGCAGGAAGCCAACCTAAATATTTTCTAGAATAAAATATCATCCAGGTCCCCAAAATTATCTCTAACTATTTTCATACAAGTAATAGGTCATGGGGTAATAATCCAGAAGGAAAAAAAAAAAAGGGATCGAAAGAGCCATGGTTATCAAGCATAAACTTAAAAGTACTTATATTTATTTTTTTAATTATGTTTAAATATGAGTTATAAATGAGATTGTGGCTGAGAATTAGAAGATAGATACTATAACCATACCAAAACAAGATAACAGAAAGGATAAAAAAAAAAAACACAGAAATTCTGAATATAAATCTTGGATTAATGAAATTCCCTTTGGTTCCCAATTTACTGAAGTTTTTTGTTATGAATAGATACTATCTTTAATCAAATACCTATTCTTTATCTACTGAAGTTATTCTATGATATTTTCCCTTCATATTATTGGGATTTTCAGATTTTATATTTCTTCTGTCAGTTTTGTAAGCTTTTTTTTTATTAGCAATGTTTTTTTTTTATCTAAATTTTTAAATGTAATGGCTCTTCAAATTCTGTAGGATCTTTTGTAGACTCTGATTTTGGTGACTTGTACTTTCCCTCATTTTTCTTTTCCTCTTTTGCTTCTTTATAATTTCCTTGGGTTAATCTGCATTCTTTTTTCTATTTTCTTATATATATATATATTTTTTTTCTTTTATCACTGTCTGGATTATAAGAAACTTTGAATATTTAAACTACCTTAAGCCTCTTTTAACTAATATTATATACATGAAGGGTATTTTAATTTTCTGTATACTTTAAACCACAAAAGACATTTTTAACTACACTTGGTGGTTATACAGATTTCCATACACATTTACCCTTTCCTCTGCCTTTTATTCACTGTGGCATTTGGAACATTTCACTCTGAGACTCTGCTTTGGTCATGTTCTGCAGGTGGTGAACACAAGAGTTTTCATTTTTCTGAAAAAGCCATTATCTCACTTCTTTTTTGAAGTGAAGTAATTTGTGTTGAGTATATAAGTCTACTTGGTGATTATTTTTTTAATTAAGTTAGTTGGAAAGAGGGAGGTGGAGGGACAGAGAGAGAGAGATGGAGAGAGAGAGAGATGGTGATTATTTTTTAATGAGCCCTTTGAGAACTGGGGGGGGGGGGGGAGGAGAAAAGACGAAAGGAGGGTCATGCATCATGATGTAGAGCAGGAGCAACCTTAGAGAGCCCAGGATTGAACAAGGAGGCGGGATGACTGCAGGGAGCAAAGATGGCAACAATTAGCAGCAAGTGAGACCAGAGAGGCAGTTAGGACCAAATCATGTAAGGATTTAAGGATTTTTACCTTTAAGGTTTTTACTCTAAACAAAGTAGAAAGTCACTAGACAGTTTGGAACAAAGGAGTTTCATAAATTTACTTATAATTTTAGTCCAAATTATCTGTCCTCTATATTCAATGCTCAGCACAGAGAGGGAGTGGGGGTGAAAACTGAGATCCCATTCAGTAGCCCATTGTGACAATCTACATGTAATATGATCAAGACTTAGACTAAGATATCAGTGGAATTGGAAAAAAAATGTTCAGATGAATACCATAAAGATAGAGTCAAGAGTTTCCCTAATGGATTAAAATGTTTGCTGTGAGAGACAGAGAAAAATGAGAATAATTCTAAGTTTTCTACCTAAACAATATAAAGAGGGGATTTATATGGTAAAGGAGTAGGATAAGAGGGAAAAATCAGTGGTTCAGTTTGGATATAGAAAAGATAG